TTATTCATGGCGTAAATGAATTAAGAAGTAGAAAGTACTCAGGCTCCTTCCATCAGTGTCACAGCAGAAAGTTAAAGATAAGCTACACTAATGTAACGCTCTTAAACATCTACCGCTAGTGACTTAAAATAAACAAGCTCTTAAAGTCCGTCTCTCACACGATTATCTATTTACAGGCCTCTCTTCATATTCTTGGTAAACGGACAGTTGACGAATGGAAATTAAATCTATTTAATTACAATAACAGATTCTGGTGTGAAATGACTAAAATACTTTAAGGAAACACTGAATAGTTTAATTTTTATGAATAGGATCTATATGCAGTTTGCCGATTTAACTTAATAGCTGTCACACTTTATTACATGAAACTTTATGAATAATTTAAATTCATTTACAAGTGAGCCGGGCAAAACTATTTAGTGCCCCGTTGACATCGACCACCATGAGATACTGAAATAGTTAAGCACTATTATTAAAGTTAGGATGATTTTGGCTTTCAGGTACATTTTCTAGAAGATTGGTAAATAACTTTCGCTTGTTGATTTGATGTCTCAACTTATCTTTACCTGCAAGCGGTATTTCACAACTTATCTCAAGAATAGTAAAAATTCAATATTACAATGGATATCTTATAAAAGAGAGCAAATTCACTGAAGAACTACAAGTACAGTTTCTACCAGAGCCAATCCCTTTGTCCAATGTGATCGACTTCAAATTACTAGAGAACAGAATATGTGACATTTCAAAGCAGTTTCAGGAATTTCACACACAAAGAATTGATGTAACAACCTATCTAACTCCACGTTTGGTGGGTAATTTTAAAAACGAGTTAAACACTTCATTCTTAAAAACCAGTGGTCGGATACAGAACCGAACTGTTAGAGTAGGTATATTATACATTAAAGGCCGTCACAGACCTGGCTATAATATATATTTATAGCAAGGTATCATCGCATATTTTAGTTATTATTCGCAATACAAAGTTTTGAGTACAAAATACATCTACAAGATATAATGTGGTATATTAATATGTTTTGAGAATACGGAAAGTTCCATTGATTGAAAAATACTAAGACCCTATACGGAAATCAAACTTTACCCCCCTGCACCATGGAGGCTGGGTCAAGATGACCCGCACTTTTAAAAATGGTTTACACAATGATGCTGCTCTTATTAGTAGTAGTAGCTGGAGTTACTGAGTTCTTTGGTGCGTATATACCGTAAAATAAATCGGGCGAGTGAATAAGTACCTACCACATTGGATTTCAGTTACAAGTGTCATATTGCGACAAAGGTAAATATGATCAGCAATGTATGTGATTGTAACTATACACGCCATATTTATCAAACGAACATACAATAATAAATGGACATACAATAATTACTAATATAAATTCCAGAATAATCACATTTCATGTCCTGTTCATTACGAATCAGCCCCCACGTTCGTGTAACATCCCCAAGACGCCGCGGGTTACTGTAATATAATTATCATATTGTCATATTTATGTATGTAACATATTATGTCTCATCGTGATTTTCATTTTCTTTAAAGCTTAGTTTTTTTGTGATTTCAAAACCATATAAAACTAAAAATAGGCTTTATAGATAGATAAATGACTTAGATTCTAAAGCATTATCTGGGAGTTTTACGAAATTAAACTAGACACAATTTCCTATAATTTAGGTGTGTCTATACAGTTTTTTGTAAAATAATTTTTTTGGCGCCAGAGCACTGCAAAGTATATTTCAATGAGTATTTTAGAAAAATGGTTTGTATTTGTTTTTTTTTTTTATGGCATAAGCCGGTAAACGAGCGGACGGATCACCTGATGGAAAGCAATCGGCGTCGCCCATGGACACCTGGAACACCAGAGGCGTTACAAGTGCGTTACCGGCTATTTGTGGATTAGGAGTTTGAGGATTGTTGGGGATTCAGGGATTGGGGAGATTGGGGAAGGGGAGGGAAATTGGGCCTCCGGTAACCTCACTCACGCGACGAAACACAATGCAAGCGTTGCTTCACGTCGGTTTTCTGTGAGGCCGTGGTATCACTCCGGTCGAGCCGGCCCATTCGTGCCGAAGCATGGCTCTCCCACACTTAAAAAT